GTGTGTGTGTGGTATAGCAGGGAGTGTGTGTGTGGTATAGGAGGAAAACGTGTGTGGTATAGCAGGGAGTGTGTGTGGTATAGCAGGGAGGTGTGTGTGTTGTATAGCTAGGAGTGTGTTTGTGGTATAGGAGGGAGTGTGTGTGGTATAGCAGGGAGGTGTGTGTGTTGTATAGCAGGGAGTGTGTGTGTGGTATAGCAGGGAGTGTGTGTGTGGTATAGCAGGGAGGTGTGTGTGTGGTATAGGAGGGAGTGTGTGTGGTATAGGAAGGAGTGTGTGTGTGGTGTACTCACAGTGACTCGGTCTGTGTGGTGTGGAAGCTTGCACGCAGCAGCAGTCTCTCCACGTCCAGCAGCACCATGTAGAACTCCTTCATGTCAGCCAGCTGTCGCGCGTTGCCCTCCTCATCCAGGAGGCGCCACTCTCCCTCGCGCAGCGGCACACTGATCGTCTCATTGTAGCTGTCGCGGTAGTAGCGGCCACCGTAGCCTAGCCGTATCCCTCTACCCTGTAACACAATACCACATCAAAAACCCTATAAGGTCTTACACACCCTAAAGTTAAATATTAGATTCTATCGGATTGTGCATGATGCTAAATATCCTATAAAATGCGAATAATCCTAAAGATTATCATGGTTACCTATATTTTCCAGCCGTTACGGATAATCATCGGAATTTTAATAACGCTGAACGCCTGACTGATTCCAAGATCCGCCACCAACAACTGCGATATTTTCACATACCTACACCACCGCGGCGATCATATATCTGCTATGTGTCGTTGCACAAGTGCTATTACACTACAGTGCTATTACACTACAGTGCTACACTGCTATTACACTACAGCGCTATTACACTACAGTGCTATTACACTACAGTGCTATTACACTACAGTGCTATTACACTACAGTGCAATTACACTACAGTGCTATTACACTACAGTGCAATTACACTACAGTGCTATTACACTACAGTGCAATTACACTACAGTGCAATTACACTACAGTGTTATTACACTACAGTGCAATTACACTACAGTGCCATTACACTACAGTGCTATTACACTACAGTGCAATTACACTACAGTGCTATTACACTACAGTGCTATTACACTACAGTGCAATTACACTA